CTCTCTCACACATCCTCTCTCTCTCTCCTCTCTCTCTCTCTCTCTCTCACACATCCTCTCTCTCTCTCTCACACACATCCTCTCTCTCTCTCTCTCTCTCTCTCTCACACATCCTCTCTCTCTCTCTCTCCACACATCCTCTCTCTCTCTCTCTCACACATCCTCTCTCTCTCTCTCTCACACATCCTCTCTCTCTCTCTCTCTCACATCCTCTCTCGCTCTCTCTCTCTCATCCTCTCGCTCTCCTCTCTCACTCTCTCGCTCTCCTCTCTCTCACATCCTCTCTCGCTCGCCCTCTCTCGCTCTCTCTCGCTCGCCCTCTCTCGCTCGCCCTCTCTTTCTCTCTCACACCCTCTCTTTCTCTCTCACACCCCTCTCTATCTCTCGCTCGCCCTCTCACTTTTTCGCCCACTCGCTCGCCTTCTCTCTCGCTCACTCGCTCGTCCTCTCTCTCTCTCTCTCTCTCCCGCTTTCTTATTGGATTCGTAATTGTTTCCACACACTCTGTCGCCTCCGTTTCAGCGCCCAAGGAGAGGTTAATGAGTTCATTCACCTTTTCTGTGGTTCAGGTGTATCCCTGATTATATCTGTAGCTCTCGTTTCGTCTTGTTCACATGTCACTTCCGCATTTTCCTTCCTTCTCTGTTTCTCTTGTACCTTTCTCTCTCCCTTCCTTCCTGTCCTCCCTTTGATCTTCCTTCTGTACTTCCCACTAGGTAGCTTTTCTCCTTCCTTCTCAACCTTTTTCTTTTTCCCACCTTTCCCTTTCCCTCTGTTCCTCCTTCGTTTGCCCACATTTTCCCTTTCCTTTCTCTTCTTTCCCTTCCTAACTCCCTGCTCCCCCTTCCTCTTCCCTCTTTCCTTCCCTCCCTGTCAACCTGCCTCTTTCCCCTTTCTTCTCTCCCTCCATTCCATGCAGCCCCTTTCCCTTTCTCTTTACTTCCTTCTTTCCCTCCCTCTCTTCTTCTCCCCCCCTCTCTCTCTCTCTCTCTCTCCGAATCTTTGTGTGATTTCGTTAGCATTCTGCTCGCTTTTCTCGCATCTTTCTCGACGTGCCTTGGAAGTCAAATTCTTTGGATTTTACTCAGGTTTCCTCTCCTCGTTTTCTCTAGATAGTTATTACACCTTCTCATTACAGCTGGGAAAATCTTGCATATGACCGACAGAATTTGCAACTAAATGACAAACCGCATATTGATAGACAGTCTTTTTGTTCACTTTACTAATAATAATTTAACAATACGCACAATACTTTGATAAAATAATAAAAAACAATAATGATATTATTTGATAAGTAAATAAATAACTAAATAAGAATAATAAACCAACAGATTTCATAATCTGATATTGTAATTGCTACAACATTTTGGCAAACAGAAAATAGGTTAACAATCAAGAAAAGCGTTTTCTTTTCCGATGGGATCGAAGAAGGGCGAGTGTAGGGGAAGATTTTTGACAAGACAACCTTGTTTTCAATTCCTGCAAATGAGCTTCATCCATGAAAATCACAGCTTCGTCGGAACTCTGGACAGCATCCCGACGAAAAACGCTAGTCAGCTTTGAAAAACAACGTAAAAAGACAGCTGATAACCGCTGTGATACACGTAACACAATGGCAGAATTACCTTGCGTACACATGGAAAGATTTTACAACAAGTAATCAGCGCTGCAAAGCCCACCGTTGATTCTGCTCCATGTTCATCAAACTACCAAATTTCTGAAGCAAATATATGAACATGCTGTGCACGGAAGGTAGACAGACAGACGCACTCAGTTGATGTTTTCAAGTTACAGCTGATACAAGAACAAATTTCTAAGCACTAGTCCCCGAGTAGAATGAACCGCCTAAAATGATAAAAACAAACGCGCGCGCATAAAAAAAATAAAATAATCAAAAAGAAAAACAATAAAACTATCAAACTACTCGTTCAGAAAGGGGAGTGGCTTGCACTTGTATAACCCAGCTTTACGTAGAGTGAAAAATTCGCGGCGTCATTGGTTGAGACGCTGTCATCGCTTGGACAGGCGTTCATGGAACAACGTTGTTGGGCAGTGTACATGTGCAGTGCCTGGAAGTCATTAAAATAACAAAGAACATCTTACCGGGTTGTTGCAGATTTTGGATGCTGACGTTGATATGAAAATGTGTTAAAAGTTAGAAAATGCAATTAATGGTTTAATGTTTCGCATTTTAAATACCAAGATTCCATTAATATTTTCGGCGCTTTCTAGCCTACACCAAGAGGTAAATCAACCTCGTGTATTTTCTAATATAATCTTGTTGGACCTATAGGTGGCTTGTGCTTGTTAGAATCGAGTAATATGAGATTGGAAGCTTACCTTGAATTCTGTTTGGGTATTTTGGATACTCTTGTTTCACGTTACATACTATTTTTGACTAATGGAACATCGAAACTTTCCACCCTTCGAAGTCCGCACAGTACCAGTCTATATTACGTCATCGCCACCAACTCAATAACCAGGTTATATCTGTTAAAGACTGCTTTGGATCTGCAGAGAAAATATAGAAACACCATCCCACCCCCTCCATTGTATTTTTTTTTTTATTACCTCCCCTAATAGACTAACAAAATCAAGAGGCCCAAACTGGTGCTCGTGACCTGTGAAAAAATGGTAAAACATCTGCTTACGCTTCTCTAAATAGCATCACGTGCTTATCTTGGGGGAGAGGAATGGATAGCAGGAGGCTGCTGGTAGATGAAGCAAAGGGGTGAGAGCGAGAGTGACATAAGGGAGGAGGTGGTGGTAAGGAATAAGGGGAAAGAGGGAACGGTGGTGCACATGTAATGTAGTATATTGGGGTGGGGGAGAAGAGGAGGGGAAACTCGAAAGGGGTGGATATTGGCAAATACTTCTAGTGCAGAGGGGATAGAAATAGGCCCTGGGATGGATTAGGAGGGAACACTATGGTCATCTTTAGGAAACATTGGAGGCAAGATTCTGTAGGGGAGTCGTGTGGGAAGGTCAGAAAAATAATGTTGCGAGGAAAATGATAGAGAGGTAGCGATTGGTGTAATTGGATTTAGACTGGAAAAGGAATTTCGAAGTGGGGGAGGGAGAAGAGAGAAGGGTTAGACGGTCAGAAAGGAGGAACAATGTTTCAGAAGGAAGGAGGGAAGAGCAGTGCCAGGACAGTTAGGAGGTGAGGGGGCCATGCTCCGAAAATCTGTGCCATTCCTATTTTAATCGAAAAAAAAAAAGCTTTAGTTAAGCAAGGTAGCTACTCTTAAAAATAGTAATTCATGGGCCATCTGTGCAGTTTGAAAAAGTCATGACCATGTCAGGTGTTGAGAGGGTAGCGAGCTACAGAGTTCGGCCAAGACACCAACATTTGACATAAATGAGGAAAGGGTTGATGCGGTCTGACGGTCTGACAGGGCTGTACACTGCCAATACAAGCTTCATGGGTGTGTGTGTGTGTGTGTGTGTGTGTGTGTGTGTGTGTGTGTGTGTGTGTGGAGGGGGGATAGAAGCTAATCTTGGCAACATTGGTGTTGGACAGACATTGGCCTCTGGGATGTTTAGTGTAAGTACTGCCACTATCATAAAGCAGGTAAGTTCTCTTAACCATGGCACCGGCTCAACTACCAGGGGGGGGGTATTGTAATGAAACCCGTAATATAGAAGCTTTTGCCATCCACTGCTTGTCGAATTTACCCGTCTACACACAAGACATGGATTTACGGAGGATCACCTGAGAGATATATAGACAATGTATATGGTGGCAGGCTTGGAAAAAAAAAAATCGTGCAAATACAGCAGCAAGTCATGGCAGTTATATCCTCATTTGCTGAAGTTTTCCAAAGATTTGAGATTACATGGGTAGTTAAATTTCAAGATATGCACCATGGTTTATTATGCTATTAATGGCCGTAGTACCCTTGCGTAGACGTAACGAAGTTGGTAACGTAATGGGTCGTGGTGGTGATTACGTGCTGGACAAGTTCTTGGGTAGTCCAAACCGGTAGGGTGGTAATCTGGAGTGACCATAGTTGGAATTAAAAATCTTTCAATGGGTGAATTGGTGTGGACCCCTCGCTATAGATGGGTGGTGATAAACAGATTGAGGTTCTTAAATACAAGTAATGCATGGAGGCATGACAAAAATAAACCAATTACCTGGTAATCAGTGGACACGTGGTAGATGCTCTGCCAGAATTTAACGGTCTCGGTGGTGGTCACGAAGCTGGTGAAGACGGAGACGAAGGTGCGGGAGGGATTCACGAACTCCTCGGCGGTCTTGATGGCGACCTGGAACCCAAGAACCAGGTCAAGGCTCGCATTCATTAGAAATATAAACAATATTCGGAAGATCAGCTACATGCATGGCTCTCCTTACCGGTGTGGTGGTGACCCTGAGCACCGAGGTCACCGTCCTGGCCACCTCGGGCACGAAGTCGCGCTCCGTCGTGTACACCGTCACGGGGAGCTCCACGAAGGTGCTCTCCGTCACCCAGATGTCGCTCGTCGTCGTCACGCGGAACGTGTGCGTCACCGTGTCCTGCGAGAACAATCACGTTAGTTCCTACAGTTATATGGACTAGACGCAGATTTCTATAGGAACCGGAACCCGCCTCCTTACCGTCCTCGTCACGGTCTCCGTCACGGGGCGAGCAACCCGCGGCTCTGGGATTCTGCCGTGGCTTTCGTACTGTGCAGAGGCACCCAGCACCTGGGGATTTAGAATATCGAGATCATTACCCATAAACCTTATTGTATGCAATAAAAGTCAATTATGAAGAAAACAAATCAACATACCAGACCCAAAGCAAGGACCAACGCCACGATCATATTGGCCATCTGAAAAATATATAAATTTAGTTTGCAAGAGTTCAAGTATCATTACTCTCAAATTTTATAGACATCCCCCAACAAACTATACAAATAATAAACGGACTATGACCCAAATATCAAAATTAATCACCTTTCAGTTGTTCTTGTCCCAGACGATCTTGATACTAGAGCGGATTGCCGTGACTGACTGGGTTTTCCAGCCAGGGTTACATTATCGTCTTCT